CTATATCCGGTCTCCCCAGGAGCCTGCATTCACTATATCCGGTCTCCCCAGGAGCCTGCATTCACTATATCCGGTCTCCCCAGGAGCCTGCATTCACTATATCCGGTCTCCCCAGGAGCCTGCATTCACTATATCCGGTCTCCCCAGGAGCCTGCATTCACTATATCCGGTGGAGCCTGCATTCACTATATCCGGTCCCCCAGGAGCCTGCATTCACTATATCCGGTCAGGAGCCTGCATTCACTATATCCGGTCTCCCCAGGAGCCTGCATTCACTATATCCGGTCTCCCCAGGACCCTGCATTCACTATATCCGGTCTCCCCAGGAGCCTGCATTCACTACAGGAGCCTGCATTCACTATATCCGGTCTCACACACAACATGGAAATGCAATTATTTTAGTAAATATACTGCTAAATACCTTTTTCTCATCAGCAGTTAGAGCAGTCTTGTGACGTCTGTGTCCAGCAGAGCACTAGTTAAAGCTTTTCATTCTCCCCTGATTGTCCTATGAGGCTGCATAACCCCTGACCCTCTGTCTTGACAGCACTGATTGGCCCTGTAATGATCATATGTCTGTCCTTTTTACACTTAATATCAGTAGTGTGTGTTGGACAAGGTGGGGGGCCCAATTTTTGGGTACACCACTGGTGAAGGGCAAAATGCCAGTCAGTTTTAGTAGTCTACTTCCTCTCCTGGAGATGCAAAGGGAAATGTCATTTGTACAAAGCGAGGGGAATGCCCCAACTGAAAGGTTACCACCTTTTTATTTCAGTTGCATGCCTTTCTCAGTGCGACTGACCTGCAACCATAAAGTGTGGTCAGATCTGGTTTTGCTGTTTCAGCAGGGGTGCCCAAGTCACAAGACAGATTGCGCACAATTAGAATGTTCTAGCAGGTAGAGGGTTTGCTTATGATACAGCTGTCAATTTAGCTAACTAAACTCTGAAAGTAAATATTGTCTAAAATAAGTCATGTGTATTCTTCCTTCACCCCGGGTTCACACCAATGTGCTGCAAATCCTGGGTTTCCCATATCACATAGCATAAATTGCAATCTGATGTGGGTGTCAATAAATTAATGACACCCAGAAACAGATCGCTAAACTTGATGCAATTGCCAGAAATTGCATCGCATGGGTGAACACCCACACGCTGAGATTCAGGTGCGGATTTAAAGGATCCTGCACCTTTTTAGTGCAGATGCGATTTGAGCCATACAAAATGTATGGCTCAAAGCACACTGCACAGGAATCAACTTCATTCTTGTGCAAACTACATTCATTGTCGTCACCTTAGTGTGAACTCAGTCTTGGTGTGCTTTGTGTATTTCTTAGATCTGTGCAGTAATCATTGTGTTCTCTATGCAGGAACTTCCTGTAATAAAGACCACTCACTGCTGCACTCTCTTGTGCAGAATAGCTGGTCTGGTCTCTGCCCCCTCCTGTAGTGATTGGTGACTTCTGGGCTCCTCCCACATCTGCTCTCTGCAGACTATGTACAGCAGTGGTAGTTGCTGCTACTTATACAAGGTTACATCTTTGTTTGCAAAGAAATCTGTTGCACACAGTGGATTTATATCCTTTGTGACTATTGATTTGCTAGATTTGTATTTGGAGCTTTTTAAGTGCTTAAAATATTAACTAAATGAAAAACAGAAAACTTGGAAGAAGTAGAGATCTCCCTACTGAGCCAAAGTACATTGGGTTTTTTACAGCTGCTGTTTTGGGTAGCAAATCCTATGTATCCACACGCACATAGGCTTTTTTTTGTGTTTTTTTTTTTTGTTTTTTTTTTTTGCCAGGGGCATTTTAGGTTTGGGAAAAGCAGAACATTTGAAGAATTTTTTTTTCAGCTGTAAAAATGCTTTAACACTGAAATGCATCTGAGCACTTTTTTTGTGCCTCCCAGCAGCTTTTGTGCAAGTATAGGTTGGCTAAAAAGCGCAAATGTTGAAGAACTGTAATGCAAAAAATGCTACAAAACTCACGGTTTTGACGCCTCATTCTACAGAACGCTACTGGCATTTGCACATCCAGTGTGCATGAGGCCTAACCTTCACCTGCTGGGTGGAGGGATATTTGGATTTAGGAATATTTTGATCAGTATTTTTATGCAATTTGTGCAGTAACTAAAAACCTTAGCAATGTGGTACAATTTCTTTTTTTTCTATGTTTCTAGCTTTTATTAAAAAATCTTTCAAGTACAGGAAAGTGCTTTTTGATTGGCCAGAAATGCTCTTGGCTCCTATTGTCCTGGTATGGACTAACTATGCCTTTTCTAGACTGAAATTGTAAGGAATAGTGTTGGCACTGCCCATGTGTTTTTTATTTTAAGCTACAGCATCTCCCATCTGGGGTGGGGGAAATTGTTCTGTAGGCCAAAATAAAAATTCAGAATGTTGATTATACTCCTCCTTACAATAAGAATGTACACAGGAAAGCATTTTGGTTCTTGGAGTATAAAGACTTTGTATGCTGAAATTGAGCATTAAGGTAGGACTTAAGTAGAGTGTTTTCTGTAGGAACTTCCAAATGAACTGATGGGTTCCCCTTACCTGGTCAGAGGCTGCCCTCACTCTAGTCTGAGAGCCCTTTTTATAACTTGTGGGAGGGGGTTAAGGGTGTAGGTTACCAAAGGCACACTTGGGAGGACCGCTTCCTTTATTATGCCAACATTAGTAGTAGGTCCTTGGCAGCAACCTCAAATTTGAGCTGATGGAAGAGTGGACAGCCAAGGAAATCTGCGACCCTATGAGAGCAGCAAGTCCCTCTGTGACAACTCCTGGTATCTGACCCTGAATGAGTACTTTCACTATCTCTGGAGCTTACAGGTAAGTAGGCAAGTTTCCTCATGTTATAGCACATGGCTCCTTTTGAGGCCTTGTCATAGCTTCTCTGGAACACATACTCCTCCCCTTGGGGGGGGGGGGGGCAGGGAGGAGAGCCTCTGTTCAGATCCTCCCAAATCCTTATGTCCTTCTTGGCCACACCACCTGGGCCATTGGCTGGGGTCAGGTAAATATTCACAATTCTTGTGGCTGACCCTCCCACACTATTGCTGGAACATTCTTCCAGCAGGATCAACCACCAGACTTTCAAAAAAAAAAATCTGAAGATACCCTAAGAGTGCAGCTCAGCATTTTACAGCTTAGCCATAACACTAAATTTTGCCAGGGCAGGGGTGCTACCCTTCCACTTAAACTTTTTTTATTTTGTTTAGGATACAGGCTGGGTAATGCATTTAAGAACAGCAATTTTGATGAAAGTCAAGGGTACAGCCTAAACGAGAACAAAAGCTGTAGCACTGAAATATAGTATATAAGTTTGCACAGGAAGGCAGCCCCCCAAGCTTGAAGACAAGGATGACCTACTGCTTAACATTAGACCGATATGAACACATTTGAGCTGACTATCCACCTAGGGACTTCCAATTCAAACCATAAATGGCAGATATTTGGATGGTTCTGCTGTAGTAGAAATAAAGGGAGTAGGACTGTTTAGGTGCAGAGTATAACCACTTGCCCTCAGAGGATTTACCCCCCTCTTTCCTGACCAGGCCATTTTTTGCGATAAGGCGCTTGATTACTTTAACTGACAATGGCACGGTCATGTGATGTTGCACCCAAATGAAGGTTTTTTTTTTTTTTTTTTTTTTTTTTTTAATTTTGTGCTATAAACAGACCAATTTTGAAAAACATTTGACTTTTTTTTGGCTTTTTAAATTTTTTTTTTTACTGGATATATTGTATAGCAATTTGTCACATTTAGGCAAATTTATTCTGCTACATGTCTTTGCTAAAAAAAATTTTTCCAGTACATGTAAATTTTTGTTAAAGCGTCTACAAATCGTGTGTGTGTATATATACTAGAATTTTTTATTTTTATACTAGTAATGGTGGCGTCAGTGACTTATAGCGAGACTGCAGCGGGCATTCTGACACTGGGTGGGAACTGACTGCCACTGACAATCCCCAGTGATACAGTAACTGTACTAATGACACTGGGCAGGAAGGGGTTGAAAAAAGGATACATTGATAAACTTCCCAGCCATGGCACCACCTGCCTGGAGTTTGCATGTTCTCCCTGTGCCTGCATGGGTTTCCTCTGGTTTCCTTCCACACTCCAAAGACATTCTGGTAGGTTAATTGGATCCTGTGTAAATTGGCCCTAGTATGTGTATGTATGAATGTGAGTTAGGGACTTTAGATTGTACGCCCCTTGAGGGTTAGGGACTGATGTGAATGTACTATATATGTAAAGTGTTGTATAAACTTGATGGCGCTATATAAGTACCTATAATCTACTTCATACAGTTTTTTTTAACTTGACCACTTATTACCCTATCTGGGGAAGGGTGGGGTTTCACATTTATGTGTACTTGGACTTTGCCTATAGTAAAAAACAGATGAATCCTCTACTTGCCTTGCTTTGGCTCTTCCCCACTGATCCAAAGCCCCAACCCCCAGGAATGTCCCATGACTTCCCACTTTAAGTCCCAACCACTTCAGTCAAAGCTGCTTTTGGAACATTGGCAGCTATCGAGTCTTTAAATCTCTCCAGTTTGCTTTTCTGTACTAAAGGTAAACAATATTTAAATTGCATGAATTCACATTACAGGAATTTGAGGTTTGGTTGTTTGATCAGATCATTGATAAATGTGCGATTAGGTTGGGTGGTACACTAACACTGCAGATTGTATATCTCTGAATCATTAGACAACCAATATGCACATTTTGTTATGGCCTCTTCCTTTTCTAGTTTGAATAATCCCAGAATAAAGTGGAGGTTGACTTTAAAAAAAAAAAAATAAAAATAATGAAACTGGCACTTCACCCAACATGTAATTGTACTGTTCAAAAACATACACAGGAAATCATTAGTCTTGCCTGGCTACACCTGTAATGTAACATGCATACTCTGCAATTTGACATGTTGTCATTTGGTCTTCAACACTTATAGATGTCTTCCATTTTCTGTTACAGGGGGAGTCCAAGCAAACATGTGGATACCTGTGGCCCTTCTCTGCTTCCTGGCCTCTCTGGCCAGCTCCCGCAATGTACCTGCCTTTACTCCACTGTCCAAAGACATGGTCAACTACATCAATAAGCTGAACACCACGTGGAAGGTGAGCAGGAACGTGTAGACTGGTCAGAAACCTGTTTGGTTTTTTTCAAATCCGTTTTCCATGCTTCATGAAAGTTGAAATTTGGATTGCTGTATTTTGAATTAAACCTATTGCAAAAAAAATGGCTGCAGTACTGCCCTTTTTAGAGGTGTGACCTCCAGCACTGCCATGTAATCCTGATTTCACAGCCTAGTGAGTCAGTGGGCTGGAATAAATATGTAGGTCAGGTATCCAGACACTACTTGTCAGTTACTGTATGTGATTCAGTGTAATGAAGCAAGGGTAACTGTAAAAGCATGGGAAAATGCAACAAAATTCAGGACAGATAATTCTGCACTAATGGGTTCTAACTTGTATAAGAAGTGATTGTAGCCATATTGGTGCACTTGCAACAAACAATGAGTACTGTCCATGATACAATTTTTTTTTTTTTTTTTGCACCAACATAATGCTTGGACCTTGAAGAAAGGGACATACCCTGAAAGCTTGTCCTGAAAATTGTATGTTTGTGTAAAAAAAGGAATCATGGACAGTACTCAATGGCTTATACAGTTACAGGCATACCTCCAGTTTGGGTTTTTTTTTTTTTTTTTTTAATTCGTTCTGCGGGACTTTTTGTATTGCAAAAAATTCGGAGACCGAAGCGTGGTTTCCCATAGGAATGCATTGAAAACCAATCTGTTCTGCAGGTCAGAAAAGTCAAGTCTTGTCTGTTCAAAGCTTTTTATAGTGTACTTTAAAGGCATAGTACTGTACAGATTAAAAAGTGTGAATGTATTAAACAAATCTGTTCATATTGCAAAAAAAAATTATAGACCTTATTTTCAATGGATTTTCATTTGTTAACCGAGGCATTCGTAAACCGAGGTATGCTGCGTTTGCTGAGGTTTATGGTTAGCCACCCTTATCGCACCCCAATCAGCTGCCACCACTCTTATCTGACTCATTTAGAAAACATGCTGATTATTATTAATAATAATAATAATAATAATAATAATATTATTACGAGTTTATATATGCCAAAGGGTTTTCAAATCAGCGCTGTACAATAGGGGGGACAATACATGGCACAGTACAACAACAAACAACGTAACGAGGGGTAAGAGGGCCCTACTCTTACGAGCTTACAATCTAGGTTAGGGAGGGGGTAAAGGTACAGTAGGAAGTGGCTGAGGGGGATGAAAAAAGTGGTGGGTGCCAATGAGGGAGGATGGCCGTTTGGTGAGGGTGGGGAAGGCTTCCCTGAAGAGATGGGTTTTGAGGGAGCGCATGAATGTGAATAGGGAAGGCGACAGTCATGAAAAGATTGGGGCAGTGTAGCCTGTTCCAGAGGTGCCTTAGGGGGAGGACCTGGAGAAGTCCTGCATTCGTAAATGGGAGGATGGAGACCAGGTCTGCAGGATAGAAGGAGGTCCAGTGAGGAGCGAAGGGTACGGGTAGGGGGTGGTACTTGGTGATCAGGTTTGTGAGGGAGTCACCAAAGGCAGTGTTGTGAACTGGCTTTGTAGTCAGGGTTAGGAGTTTAAATTTGATGCGTTGGGCAATCGGGAGCCAGAGGGGGGTGGCAGAGGTGGAGCGGGTGGTGAGCTGGATGAGTCTGGCAGCTGAGTTCAGGATGGTCTGGAGCGGGGAGAGCCTGCACTTGGGTATATTTCCAGTGAGGAGGGAGTTGCAGTAGTCAAACGTGATTGATTATGTGGGAGTGTACTATGAAGTTTTGGTGTGTCTGGGACAAAACAAAAAAAGTGAGGAAAGAAAGCGTATCTTGGTCAATGTTGCGAAGATGGAGCCTGCATGTGTTTGTGAGTGATTTCACATGCGGTTGGAGGGAGAGGTTTACACGTCAAGAATGACGCCAAGGACTTTGGCTTGCAGGGGTGGGAGTGATATAGTGGAGTTGTTGGTGATGATGGATAGGATGGGGGGGGGGGGGGGTGTTTGGCAGGGTGTGTCTAGCGACATCCAGTCTGAGACAACATTTAGGAGGTGAGTGATGCGAGGACCTGGAGATAGTGGGGGTGAGGTGAGGGGTGGAGAGGTAGATTTGGGTGTGCGTCAGCATAGAGGTGATAAGTTTGAAGCCGTGAGATTGTATGAATTTGCCCAGGGAGTGTAGATGAGAGAAGAGAAAGGGCAAGGACAGAGCCTTGGTGGAGACCCCAAACAGAGAGGGGGAGGTGGGCACCATTGTAGGTGACACTGAAGGAGCGTCGGGATAGGTAGGATGAGAACCAATCCGTCGAGCAGTATCTCCGATGCCAAGGGAGAGTAGTTATTGAGGAGGGGGTGGTCCCCACTGTGTCGAAGGCCGCAGAGAGGTCCAGGAGAAGTACAGAGTAGTCGCCCTTGGCTTTGGTGTTGAGTAGGTCGTTAGTGATTTTGAGGAGGGCAGTTTCAGTGGAGTGTAGGGGACGGAAGCCGGACTGTAGAGGGTCAAGGAGGTTGTCTGTAAGGTGGGCAGCTAGGCGATCGTAGAATTGAATAGAGAATGAATCTTCCTGGGTTCAACATCTGCAAGGGTTGACTGTCAAATTATGTTTAAAATGAATTAACACAAATTTGGGTAGCAAATTCAATTGACAACTATGTATGTTAAATTCTGGTAATTTTTAGCAGGACTCATGAGCAAACTAGTGTTAAAGGGAAGCACTGGGCCAAGAAAGTGGAGTGGACATGCAAAAAGAGTTAATAGGGTGCCAGCAATGGGGAGAGGGTTTCTTCATTTGGATTTGAAGGCAACCTTGAAAATGAACAGTGTTTAAAAGGTGCATTGCAATGTATACTTTTAGAAAGGGGGAGCTCATCCAAAAGATCCTCCTTTTGGCCTCTTGTAGCCTGCTGGCCATGACGTGCCTTAGGGTTTATATGCAAATTCACCTGGCTGAATTTATTTTTCTAAAGGGTTCAGGATGGCATATTTAACGTCTGCAGTATTTTGTCCCAAGCACATTTTTGTAGTGTGAACATGAATCTTATCCTTTTTCTGAATTGTTTTAATTTGGTCATGGCTTTGTAGGGAGACCATGTGTAAGGCAAAACTAGTGGTGACTGGATCCTTTGTCCTTGTTGCCTTACTTGACACTGCTTCCCGGAAAAATTGGTGCTCTTGGATTTCGGCCAATGACTGTATGTCACAACTTCATATAGGAAATCTTTCCTTGCTCTCTGCAGGGCTGAGGTTCACTGCTTCTTCAAACAGCTTGGTCAGTCTTCCTTCCCCTTATCAAAAAGGGAAGGATTGGCCATGTTTTGTAGATCTTCAAGTGAAATTGCTTTGTGCTTACCCTCAATGTCAGTGTATCAGATATTGAATCTCAGGTGGGAGTAAGTGTCTGTTTATGACCAAAGCTTATTAGACACTTTTTTTTTTTTTTTTTTTTTGTGGAGTTTTTTTTTGACAGTTTAACAAGTCCATATTTACTTCTGTCAATATAAAGTGGTAGGGGTTACCTTGCAACCCCCCCCAAAAAAATTCCAAATATGGGAGAAGCAAGTGAAACGTCCCCTTCCAGGTGACATTCCACTTTAACTATTGCAAATAAAACCAATGCCAAAGAGACAAATAGTTTAATCTTGAACAGATTTTCAGAATTTGTTTTAACACATGCATATGAAATGAAAATTTCCCGTGTATCATCAATGTTGGTCAACTTGTTGCTGAGCAGATTAAAAATGTAAAATGTGGAAATGCACCAAAAACACACTACATGCATTTTCTGCAGCATCTCCATTTAGTCTACTGAACCAAAAGGCAATGCGTTGTGCTTAGTCTGGCCCTTTCCAAAAACTTTGCCGCTCAAAAAAGCATAGATGTGAACATGTCCCAAAGGAAACAATGTTAAATGGATTGTTTTGCCTTTCTGCAAAAAGCCCCAAACGCATTGGTGTGAACCAGCCCTCAATGGGGAGGTGTGTGTTTTTTTTGCAAATATGCACCAAGCAGGATTTTTAACACATCAAGGGAAGGGCAACAGACCAGTGTGGAGACAGTGACTTTAAAGGGATGCCATTTTTTTGTGTGTTTACAATTTTATATAATACAAAAACTATTTCAGTTTCAACCTACTGCTTGGACTTTGAAGAAGGGGACATACCCCGAAAGCTTGTCCTCCAAATTTTGTTAGTGCAAATAAAACAAGTATCACGGACAGTACTCAATTGTTTCTGTCGCAAATGCACTAATATGGCTACAATCACCTCAAGCATGGTTTCAATCAAGAATTTTCATTTTGGTGCACCACTACCACTATTGTGTTCAGCCAGTGGGTGCTAAATATCTAAACATTCCTTCCATTTGGTTGGATGAAAGTACTCTTTGGCTGTGCTTTTTTTTTTTTTTTTTTTTTTTTTTTTTTTTGTGGGCTTGAAAAAAGGTGGATTGAAAAACTGGGTGTCAACAGGGTCACCAGAGCTCAAACTTTCTGACTCGGCTGAAAACTAGAGTATGGCAAGCTGTGCTTCCAGGAACTCTTGTGACTAGTAAGCAGTGGTTGGTGGTTCTATGTTGCAATGTGTGGTTGAGCGGGTAAGAGGTCTTGTGCAGTTACTTCATAGATACAGTACAGGGAGACCAACACCCTAGGACAAGAAGCATTACTGACAGGACCACCAGGTGAAATTAAGGGGCAAAAAAACCTGTGTTAGAAAACTAATGCAACCAAATTGCTTTTTCTTGGGTTTAGACACTGTTCAGAGATGTCTTAATGTGACTGCAGGGACAGTAGTTGGGGCAGGGGCCCTCAATCTACATTAAAGTTGCAAGGCAAATACAACATAACACAATGACCAGAACAGGGTTATAAGTTTGTATGTTTTACCAAGTTTACGTAAGCCTTGTCTAGAAGTTTCCCAGAGTATCTCCAAATAGGGGGGGGGGGGGGGGGGGTCTTGCCACTTCCTAAATTGTGGGGTGTATGGTTGGGGGTGGCTTTTCTGAAAAATGCACATTACATTTGAACCCAAGTTTCTCTTCACATTCCTCTGCTCCTTGAGGTGCAAACACCATACAAATTTTTTTTTTTTTTTTTTTTTTTGTAGGGTTTCAACATTTGAGATGTAAGGGTTTTTGTACAAACTAGATAAGAGCCTTGTGGCTTTTTACCCTAGCATGTTTAGTAGGCCTGACCTTGTTTTGTCAGTGCCCTTCATTCCACAAGGTTGCATTACCTAAAGTAAAAGTAACAATTCCCCTCCCTGGTAATCCTGTGACTAGCGCTGTCCTAGGGGACAATGCTTGCTCACCCGATCTGCTGAAAACCATTGTCGCCCTAGCACAGGACTATACCATCTCCATCACATTGGGTTCGGGGGAATAAGTTTGCAGGGCACAGCTTGGAAGGGAAAGAACATATGGGTTCAATTTACAGTGAGTTACATGTACACAGCATTTCTGGCCAGATCAACAGACATTTTCTGCATTTGCCATATTTTTAGTGGCCTGACAGGACTGGTGAGCTGCGCTGCTCTACATTTTTGATCTTGGGTTTGGAATGCTCCTTAGGTTAATATTTCCAGTGGTCAGTACTGGTACTTTGAATTCACCGACTATAAACGTGTGTTCAGCAATTTAAGGACAGCTTTTGACTGTATTGCTTGCATCCTAAGATTGTACTTTCTTTTGTAGGCAGGACCCAACTTTGATGAGACAGATATAAAACATGTGACAAACTGTGTGGATCTGTCATTGAACATGAGCATAAACATGGACGTAAACTGCCAGTCAGGTGAGACTTGTCCTATAACAAGGTGCTGTAACCATGCATAATATCAACCTGTCTGGTTGTGGGATAACACTATTGGGTTGATTTACTAAAGGCAAATAGACTGCAGATTTTCCAGAGCATAATAAATGAGGAATACCCATCACATTCAAGAGGGTTTTTTTTTTTTTTTTTTTTTTTTTTTTTTTTTTTTTTTTTTTTATTGGATGATGGAAGTCAGCAGAGCTTCTGCTAAACTATGACATTCTGGTGCAGCTGCCCTTGCAGAGTGCAGCTGAATTTGGCGAAGTGCGCAGTCTTTGCCTTTAGTGAATTAGCCCCTATGCTTTGGGGATAAAAGGGGTTGCTGGGAACCTTTGGAACCTATCTTGAGAGCAGAAAACTGCTAGGTGAGACATGTTCTATATCTGCTCTTTAATAGAGTGCTGTATCCATACAGGTAAACAAGTGTTCTTGTGGATAATTAGACTTTTTCTAAAGGCATTCTGATGGAACAGAGTATAATGGGGCAGCAACGTCTATGTATATCTGCTTGGCCAAATGATGCTAAACATTTGGCACTCTTAACCCTTTTGCTTCCACAACAGTTTTTGCACACATTTAAAATCTTTTCACTACACAACCCCCAACACATTGTTTTCTGAAAGCTGACACCATAGCAAATAGTGGTAGTTCCAATTTATTAATGTCCCATATTATTGCAAATGTCTTAACAAAAACAAACAAGTGATTTTTAGGGCAAGCAACTGATTACTCACTACTTCCTTTTTTTTTTTTTTTTTTTTTTTTTTTTGTAAAATATAACCATGAGGTTGCAACAAGTAAATGGATACCCAACATGCCAAACCTTAAATTTGTGTGCGCCTATGAAATTGCATCACACTTCATACCCCATATTTTCTAGATGATACTTCAAAAGCCCCTATAGGTCATTAGTGTTAACCCTGCTTGTCTCCTCTGGGCTCCATTAGATGTATTGCAATGCAAACCACATTGCAATACACCCTCCCCAGCTATTCTAGCCAGGAAAGTGACAGTCGTGACCCAGAATTGACATGGATGTCTCCTTCCTGGTCACATGAAGATGAGGGGGAGTGGATGCTTGCCCTCTCCCCTGCACCCACCATGGCTCTCCCCCCATGCCTGCAGATGGAGCCTAGTTACATGGCAGGAGTGCACCCACGAGGGGTTTGGGAGAAAAACTACCCAGTTAATTTTTGTTTCATTATGTTGGGAGTGACCTGAAAGCTGGTGTTTTCTCAAATCAAGCAAAATATTTTTGGTCAATAGAGTAGCCAGCAGGCAGTGCAGGAGGTGGGCCAGCACTTGTCCATGTAGTAATCCGCTACATATTGGAGGACTTCTCAAACACTCAAGTTTCCAACTAAAGTGTTGGAACCTCCATGTGTTAACTTTTTTTTTTTTTTTTTTTTTTTTTTTTTTTTTTTTTTTTTTTTTTTTATTTTTCTTCTTGGAAACTGCCTTCAAAGCAAGTCTGTGTTCTGCCCATGCAAAGCAACTATTTGCTCTAATGCTTCCCCTCTGCAGCAACACATTGCCACCTTTTCTCATTCACTCAGTTTAGCTACAGGGTGCTAGCAAAATGACTTGTACTTTCAGTTACGGATGAGCATGTGACTTGATCCCTTTTTCTCCTGTGACAGTGCTGGCCCTTGGGTCATTGGTCCAACATTTAACAGATGAGGAAGAAAGCCCCCCTAGTCTTTTCCAGCTTAGAGAAACACTGAATTTACACAGGGAGGACTAGCTATTGCTCCTGAGAACTTTATGGAGTGGAAAGGGAAGGTGGCATTAAATGGAACCTGGTTGACCAAGCACAATTTTTTTTGGTTAAGCATGTCCTGCTTCTGTTTGCATTTGTACACAGAGGGTTCTGGCAGAGCTGGGACAAATATGGATAAAAGGCTATTTGTCTATTGTATGAAATAAACGGTCCTGCCAAAATCAACTTATACTTCAATCTTTTTTTAGCGCTTGACTTTTCTTTGCTTATATTTGGCTGGTTTTTCTCAATGTTTTAATGGATCCTAATTTTTTTTTTATATTATTTCTGCCACTTCAGGTACAGCTTTTCTGACCATATGGTCCTACCAGACCAGTTTGACTCTCGGGTAGCTTGGCCAAACTGTCCCACTATTAGGGAGGTTAGAGACCAGGGTTCATGTGGCTCTTGCTGGGTAAGTACTTGACACATTCTATAACTTTGGACTTTATTGCAATGTTTCCTTTTTTGCTACTGTCTTGCCTGTATCTTTTCTTCTATGAAGCAATGGCCAGTCACATAACCCTGTCCTTGCTTATACAGTCACATAAATGAGCAAGTCACTGCCTCCCCCATGATGACAAATTTACTCTATGCTAAAATGTCGCTGTTTTTGGCAACACATTGCCCTGATACCTCAGTGGGCACCACTGTAGCAATAGAACTAAAAAGCCCTACCCGCAGTTTTTTTTTTTTTTTTTTTTTTTTTCCTTCCCTAAGCCTAGTGAGTCAGGGGCTTTGCGTGCCACAGCACACGCATGAATGCTAAAGATTTTCATTCCACAAAAGTAAAACTGTAAGGTACAAAACAAATTGTGTATAGTTCACCATAATTTTAGATCATGAGGTTTCCATTCTGTGTGTGCGTGTCCTCTAATTGACTTGATTCAATAATCAGATTCAAAAGTTTTCCTTAGTTTTTTTTTTTTTTTGTTTGTTTTTTTTGTTTTTTTTTTTTTTTTTTTTGAGCAGTCTATCTCCCAAGCACCAACTGTAGATCCCCATCTGGCGTTCAAAAAAAGTTTTTGTGCTAGCTATGCTCACGTACTCTACTACGTCTGTCTTGATATAACCCCTTTATACATAGAGTGGTGCATTAAATATGCCTTTTGCCCAATGCATTCTTCAATCTATGGGCCCACTGACCACACTAAAGCAGATGCACAATTTGTAAAATAGTCAACTTCTGTTGACCGATGTCATAACATAAGAGCTAACCTTGTTCATAAAGTTATTTAGGAGTTTCTGGTCTTTATGGTTGGAAGATGCTTTAGTGAGCTGTAATGACTGCTATGGGATATGCTGATACCTTCTTTGGATCAGTAATTCTGTAATTGTCAAAACCAAACATTCAAGGACAGGGGTGGACTGACAACTCATGGGGCCCCCGGGCAATAGGGGATCATGGGGCCCCCGTGTCCTCACCCACACTCAAACCACACCCAAAAAAAAGCCCATGAAAGGTACCAAGGGAATCTCATGGGGCCCCCTACTGACCCCCCAGGCCCTTGGGCAGTGCCAGAGTTCCCAAATGGTCAGTCCGCCCCCCCTGTTCAAGGATATATTTGGTAAACTAAAAGGGAGCATATAAAGGGGGTTTGTTTGGAGTTTACATACATTTTTTTAACATCCCTGATTGTCATGCCTAAAGCTTTCAGTAAGTTATGATTGCCTCTTTAAATCTAACAACTGTGATATGTGGGCCTGCCTGATTCGATCAAAACTAAAATGTTCCTATAGGCTCTCACATTATGTAGTATTGGCAGCGCTACAGCTGAGATTGCACAATTGTATTGTAGTCTGTATAATCTGCTTAAGAGCAAGGACCATAAAGTGCAGACAAATCTCACAAGATTTTGAGGGATAACTTTTTTTTTTTTGTTTAGCATCTCTGCTGTCCCACTATCTAATACACCTTAATGGCTAGTAAGAGCTCACACTGGAGAAGCCTTTTCATGTGGCTATGGTAATCGGGTTTTTTGCTGACTTTAGAAATTGGTTTGAAAGGTCCACTTTAGGTGAAAATCTCTAGCACTTGATTGGCTGCAGTACAAGTAGCAGAACTAATCTGATCACAACTTCCCAAGCTGGGGTACTTGGAGAATATGAGCAAACGCTTGTTGGGACTAGTAGGCTTAAATTTTCTTTTATCCCAGAAATTGGTCAGATTAAGCACCAGTGTCTGCAGAAATCTGAAGCAATAATTCTCTATTTTAGGCTTTTGGGGCCGTGGAAGCAATATCTGACCGCATTTGTGCGCACTCCAATGGGAAGGTGAATGTGGAGGTGTCTGCTGAGGATCTGCTTTCCTGCTGTGGGTCTGAGTGTGGTTCAGGGTAAGTCTTCAGTGGGAGCTGTATTAAACTATTGCTTATTGTCTAAGTAGATACTTGTGCCTTGAGGATCTCAGTTGGTTTTATGCCAGCTATGGAATTCTTGAATTATTTTTTGTCAAATATTCAGTTGCCTTTATTATAGTGGTAGCCTGACCTACAGTGTCAGCATTGGGACATCCACTACATTGCCAGGGTTCTTCATTAGGAGTCCAAACTTCCTCAACCTCCCTGAAAGCACAAGACATTCTAAAACAAAGTTCTTGCTTTGGGTCAGCAATCTGGAAGAGAACTTGTACTGGGGAAGCATGCTGATCTCTCCTATTAAACACTACTTGTATTATGGAAATTCATGCTGGTCTCCCCTATTTAATATACTACTTGCATTATGCTGGTCAATGTCTTCAGTACTTTTTAAGCTGTTAACCTAGACAAAGTGTGCACAGGCTAGAGTTTGCCAGGCAGTGATCTATACTTTGCTCTTGTCTTATACACCATATTGCAGTATACTTTCAATTGTTACACAATACCATTCCAATCTACGATTTTGTCTTAAAATCAGTGGAAAACCAGCTGAGTAATGGGCTACACTTCATTTTTTTTTTTTTTTCTTTTTTCCTGAAATGGTTGATTTATTAAAGGATATATCAAAATGCATACATCACCATGTACATAGAGCATATAATCCATAATGTCAATTTAAAGTTATCTAAAAATTTACTAACCATCACCTGGGGAGGAGCACAACAATCCCACAAAGATTTTACATGTAAAGAATTATTTAAATTTTTACAAATGCAGTGACGTCACTAAGATTGGTGTCGCCCCAACTGACAAAACAGTTACAATACAATTTGGTACAAGAAACAGAGGGCCCTGCTTGTTGGAGCTTACAATCTAGGAGATACAGGTCAGTCAGTGGGGTGGTGTTAGTGGTGCCCCTGCCAACAGGTGTCACCAGGGCCACTGTTAGAAATCATGGGGCCCCGTATAGCCACCCAATTGGGAGATGGTCAGACTGCAGCCACCCAATTGGGCCTGAATCCAGTGTATAGTATTGCAGCCCTGCAAGAAGTCAGAAATCCTCTTTACAAAGTGAAACTAAGTGATGGAAGGCAGCAGCACTTCCAACCTTGTCTTTTAAAACTGACAACTGGTTAAGAGTAGAGTACAGTAAATGGTTAGTGAATCAGTGAAACTGCCAGCCTGAACCAGCAGTAAATCCTGCAAAGGCAACATCCAACAAACCCTGAAGCACACAGAACTCTGCCTGAAATGGCTCCAGAGAAACTGATCAGCAGGAGTGTCACTTGGCATGCCAGCCAACGTCTTATCAGTGTGTTCAGGCAGTAAGGTGTGCAGGTTGGGTTAGGCAATTATAACAGTAAGGAGGGAGACAAGACTGAGTGGAGGCTTTCCCTAATTGGGATGTATACTGTCTAACCTACACACTGAAGGATTTCTTTTGACGCTGCAGCCAGCCACCATTCCCAGTGGCCAGCGACACATTGCTGCTGCTCAGTTGTTTCTCTGGAGCCATTTCAGCCAGAGCTGTATGTGCTGCAGGACTTTCAATTCTGATTGTACCCTCTTGTCTCCTGTCCTGGGCTTCAGGTACTTTGTCTCCCCTCCTGGTGACCATTCATCCCCAATCCAGCCACCAGCATCTTCCATTTGCAATCAAATGTGGTGGGCTGGAGAATTGGGGGGGGGGGGTGTTAGTGCTTCATTCCCCAAGGAGGGGCAACTGCTACTGCAGCCAGTCCAGTGTATTTGTCCCTCAAACTCAAGCAAGCAGCACTATTGGCTGCTATGCTGGGCCTGCAGAAACCTGAAGCTGCTAGCTCACCAGGCCCCACTGTCAAGTGTGGTATCCCCTTATCTGCATCCCTGTCACCCTGGTGTCACCCACATAGTGATACCATACAAGGGTATTGAGACTTTGGTACTTCACGTCCCATCCTTTTTGTATCTGGAATTATGAATTGACTTTCTTTGCCACGTTGAAAATCCCCTCCTTTTTTATCTGGAATTATGACTATGTATAGAAAGCTGGTAACAATACTTTACTAGAGAAATTCTGGTCCATATACTTCTGGCTTTTCTTTCTGTTTAAGGCAGTGTTTCTCAACCTTTTTCTATCCAAGTCACTTTTTGCATAAGTTCAATTTTGAAGCATCCTTTTCTAAAATGTTAAACTATTTAGTTTTAGGTCTTTGTTTTCATAGTGCAGGCTCCACACATAGGAAGCCCAGCATTATATTTATTCTTGCAAAGCAAATACTTATGCCCACTGGTACTGATTTACCTGGTGGCTTGATGGTAAGTTTAGGCATTTTGCCAAGGCACCCCTGAAGAACCCAGAAGGCACACCAGGGTACCTCAGCTTTTTCAGTGAAAGGCTGGTTTAAGGTAAATATGTAAATTATGGTTAATACAATTTATTTTTTTTTTAACTGGTTTATTGCAAAATATTATACTGGTATTTCATAGTCTAATTGGGGGGGGGGGGGGGGAGACAGACACTAAGCGGAGATGGTGATACTCCATGTAAAATGGAGGTTTAGGGGGGGGGGGTAGGAGAGTCTTCAAAGAATTTTTCACAAGCAAGTGAAATTCTGAGCATGGGCCCTTCCTATATTGGCTTCATACTAGAAAGTAGATATGGGCCAGAAGGCAAACTATGTCTGCTTTGCCATCTTAACAAATTTTCAGTGGTCTAGGAATCCTTTTTTGTTCAATGTTTGTAATGTATCCTTTAATTTTTGGTGAAACCTCAGCCCATGTGTGACTTCAACCATAAGCAAAATGACCACCTTCTACTTCCTGCCTCCACTGCACAAGAGTTGGCTATACAGAGCAGCCCTGTGCCCTCTAGTGCCTGGAGGAGAAAACTGCAGTCCAATACTCAGTGGTTGGCCAGACCAAATGGCACACTGTCACCAGTGGCAGCTGGAAGGATGACCAGATAGTCAAATGCTGCAAATGTAACCTCTCCATTCCTGCTTCAGGAGTCTGAATTTCAAGGACTCGGTCACCCTTACATCTGGGGTCCACTCCCCTGTACTTGTAGAACACCCTGCTGAAAACACCTTGGTCAGAACAAACACCGCACAGGGTCTCATTATGCAGGGTCTAGTGCTGTAAGGCTACGTTACAGGCTGACCTTGAGGGTCACTCCAATCAAAAGTTTGGGTACCATCCACTTTTAGCTAACTGCCCTTTGAATGGATCATATTCTAGTCCTTGAATCACAAAACCGTTTCTGACCTCCAGGTATAGTCCAAGAGTACATGCAGCACATCAGTGTCTGTAAGATGACGGTCACTGAGGTACTTCATGTATAGGAGGGGTTATATAGGTGAGGACCTTCTGCTTGATCTGCCAGTGTCCTTTCACTTATAGGTGGTACATAGGCCCCATAGTCATGATTATTGCCTGCCATATCCCGTGATCTACTCCAAGAAATGGATTTTTATAGGCAAGTATGTAGAAGAAAAAATCCCCCCCCCCCTTTTATATGGAAGTTACAACTTCCTTAGCTTTTCAAGAGGGAAATGCAGATCTGACCTTTTTAATGCAGTGTTTAGGTTACTGGCTCACCCTCAAAATAAACATGTTCTAAGTGGAGAAGGGCAGATGAGTTTTGAAATCGGAACCTGAATGTTGGAGGAATTGAGCCTTCAGTGGGGGATTGTATCTAGCTCTATGGAAAGTAGAAGGCACATTTTTAACAAGGCTATCAACAATGTGTAGTAAACTGAGCCTTTTTTCATTGCTGCAGCTGTAATGGAGGATATCCATCTGGAGCCTGGAAATACTGGACTGAGACAGGTCTTGTGTCTGGGGGATTGTTTGACTCCCATATTGGTGAGTGTCATGCTTTTTGATCTGTAGATCTGTTTCATGGGAGCTGACTAATGTAAGATTCATATCTCCCTCCTTCAGGCTGTAGGCCATACACAATCCCTCCCTGTGAGCACCACGTCAATGGCTCCCGCCCATCCTGTAAGGGAGAGCATGGAGACACTCCAGAATGTTTGAAAAAATGTGAGGCTGGCTATGGACCAGACTACAGTTCTGATAAACACTATGGTAAGTGGCCTTTAGCATCCTGATTGCATAGCTGATCCTGGATATAATTACTAGTGTTGTCACAAGTCTATACTGGGGTTTGACTGTTGGCTGCAATAAGATTCCTATCACTTCACCCAGTCTGGAAAAGCAAATGAACAGAACACTTGGAGCAAACTATGCTTTGTCCATGAAGGGCAAATGTACAGGTTCTTTTTTATTTCCCCCTCCCCAGGAGCACATACACTTTTCCTTGCTCCGCTACCACTTTTTTCTGCTGGGTGTAGAAAACCCTTCATGGAATGCAAAAGTGACTTCATGATTGCTTGTATCTGGTGAATGACACCACACTGGTGCATGTTTCAGGGGATAATGGACATTTTTCCATCTTAACCTTATAAACTTCTACAGATCCATCCAGTTCAACCTGTGTCTTTACTCTAACAACCCCCCTATCCCTGAGTAGTCTACTCTTATGAGGAAGACCTTGAGGTTTAACCTCAAATCACAGCCATGTGCCCTCTTCAGGCACCTTAAAATAACCAGTTTAGTTATTGTCACCTTTTAATATTTGTACAATGTGATTTGTATCCACTTTTTAAGCACCTTTTCTGTGTGAATAACCTAGCTAATTGATCATCATAGCTGAGGTCCTCCATACTCTTCATTTTGTTGTCCTTTGTAATTTAACACTTTCCCAAGGATTGGTGACTAAAACTGAACTGTATATTCAAAATGAGCCTGAACCAGTGTTAAAAGGCATACATGCCAGATTATCAATGCCACCCTTAATGCATGGGTATTTTGCAAGCACTCCTAGATCCTTTCAATCTCAGGTTCTCCAGGCCATCTGTATTTTGCATGCATAGTTTTGGCACCTAAGTGTAAAGCTCTACAATTAATAGTAAACCTCATCTGCCACATAGCTGCCTAAACCCCTTATTTTATAAAAATATTCCAATGTCAATTTTTCGTCTTCCATATAGTCCCTTATTGCCCTTCTGCAAAAAATTGTTTCTTGTGACCCTTCTAGAAGACAAGCATATTGAGACCTCCAACCTATTCTACAAATTCTAATGATGGGCCCTCATTGGCTCTGTGAGGCCCCTGTTCTGTATGGCCACCTTGGTGACGCGTCAGTGAGATTAGGTATGTTGTAACGGTTTCTAACTTTAATTTCATAGGTGTAGATGCCTACAGTGTTGACAGCAACCAAAATGAGATCATGGCTGAGATTTACAAGAATGGCCCAGTAGAGGGTGCCTTCACGGTGTATGAAGACTTCCCTACTTACAGATCTGGTAAGAGCCTGACATTCATGTCTGCTGTAAATGTCTTTGTGGCTGAAAGCTGCTTTTAGTTGTGGCAGCCTGTGCTTCTCTGCCTGTTCTAATCCTCCTATGAGTGATTCTACACATGTAAGTATGTTTTTTGAAGCAGAATAAGGCAATTGACTTTTTGTTCTGTGGGGGTAAAGGATGGAGCAGGGCCGCAGAGGACAAAACCAAACTGCATTTGTTTTGGTAGGCATGCACCTAATAGATGCATTTAAAATACAACTTTATACAAATCTAGGATAGTTTTGTTTATAGTAGGGAAAATTTTTAGTTTGACTGGTTTTTATTGCTCTTTCACCATTGGAGAGCTGTCACCAGAACTTTTTTTTTTTTTTTTTTTTTTGGATCTGCCCAAAGTGGGGATTTGTACTCTATGGATTTTCTTCCCACTTGTCTCAGAACAGGAAATGTGATGACATAACATTTGGCTAGAGTACACTTTAACCAGTTGCCACCCAGCCTATAGCCAGATGGCAGCAGAGCGAACGGCTCATCCCTCTGGGTGGACGCATGCACATTGCGCCTGCCAGCAGGGCTGCAGAGGCACAATTTGTCACCGGCTATGTACCTCAGACACCGCCAATGACAGATCTGTGTACTGGCCCTGTTGCCTGTACCATGTGACCTGCTGTGACCAATCACAGCAGGTCACATGACAGTTGTATACAATGGATGGCTTCATTTCATGCCATACATTGTATAAAAGTGTCTAGCTGTGAATGGTCACAGCAGTCATATGCACAAGCTGGGCCAATCACAGCTAAGCACAAAACCCTGAATGAAGCTGTCATTCAGGTAAATGGTTGCTTATAGCAATTGTTTGCTATAAGCAAACTGTATTAAAAAAAAATCACTTCCCCAAAGTAGTACAATGTTAATTTTTTTTAAATTTTCTGTCACTTCCTCATTTCCTAAAAATTACAACTTGAGAACTCGCAATGCCTCCTATGAAATACATCAGACTGTCTACTTTGCAAACGGGTCATTTGGGGATATCTGTACTGTTCTGACATTCTCGGACCTCAAGAAATTAGTTTGGCTGTCAGTACTTCAGGATTGATCAATATTCAGATATATCCCATAGCTTGTGAACTCTAACTCAAATTAGGATGTATTTAGCCCAGGGGTGGGCAAACTTTTTGACTTGAGGGCCGCAATGGGTTCATATATTGGACCCGGGGGCCGGACCAAGAGTAGATGAATGATGTGTATGTCATCCATAGTAAGTATAGTAATATTCCCCCATAGTAATTCATCCCCCATATAGTAATTCATTCCCCCTATTAAGTCCCCAAGTCCACCCTGTGTCAATTCACTTACCTTTGCTCCGTGCTTTCCTCTCGCCGTGTTCCCGCGCCGTTCCGGTGTAGCATAAAATTTGTCTCCTATGAGGATCTGTCCCCCTCGACGTATCTGCGCATGTGCCAGTTTCAGGCATTAGCAGCCGATCGGCGATCTCCAGCACATGCGCAGATACGTCGAGGGGGACAGATCCTCATAGGAGACAGATTTTCATGCTACACCGGTCTTCAGGGCGGACTGTGAGAGGAGCCTAGCTCCCCTTGCGTTCGTCACGCTGCCCCGCCTACACACATCCTGACAGCCATCCTGACAGTATCACGCTCCGCGGGCCGGATTAAAAGGTCCGCCGGGCCGTATACTGCCCGTGGGCCGTAGTTTGCCCATTGCTGATTTAACCTGTAGGAAAGTTGTTTTTTTTTTTTTTTTTTTTTTTTTTTTTTTTTTTTCACCAAAGAAATGTAGTCTAATACATCTTGGCCTAAATTTATGAACAGTTTATTTGCAAACTTTTATAAACCAAAACTTTTTTTCTCAATTTTTTTTGTGTTTTTTTTTTTTTTTGTTTAGCAAAAAATAAATCCCAGTGGTGATGAAATACCACCAAAAAGCTCCAGTTGTGTGAAGAAAATGATAAATTTTAGTTGGGGTACAGTGTTGTATGACCACGCAATTGTCATTCAAAGTGTGCGCTCTGAAAATTGGCCTGGGCTGGAAGGGGGTAAAAGTGCCCTGTATGGAAATGGTTAAGTAAAAAACCCTTTGAAATGGGGGTAAAGGGGGGGGGGGGGGGGGTGAAATCTGCACCTAAATTGCTGATGGGAAGTTGCCTTATCTGTGTATTCAACCTAATGTCCATGTGTTGATTGCTATACTGTTCTATTCTAGGTGTCTATCAGCATGTGACTGGAGGGGAAATTGGTGGCCACGCTATTAAAGTAATTGGCTGGGGAGTGGAAAAGGGAACTCCATACTGGCTTTGTGTCAACTCCTGGAATACAGACTGGGGTGATAACGGTATGACTTTTTTTTTTTTTTCTTTTGTGAAGTTACTAAATCATGGCAGATTTGGTTTTGTTGACAGGAGTGCATCACTGTAGCTACTGAAGTGCAGACATGGACAACACAAACATCTAGACAACTGTTAAAATCTGTTTACCCCCCCAAGGTTGTGATTGCAAGTGGCCTGTTTGTATGAGGGGAAAGGGGTGGAGATCAGATTAGGTTTAGTATCTTTTCCATTAAATTTCATGCTGGCTTCCTAGATCAGGGAAATATTCTTCTGCAGCAGTTTGTTTCACTGGCTGGTTTTTAAACTTGTAGAGCTACCGTACAAGGTGACCCATGGCTTCATAGTTTCAATGTACCATGTTTTCCTTTAAAACCTAGTCTTCTATATAAATTTTGACTGCAGCTTCTGCCAAACAAGGATTGTAGTCTGGCAGACCTATGTCACTGGGCCAAGAGGTGGTTGGCCAAATCAACCATGGAAGATATGGTTGGCAATTTCCAAAGCAGAGCTCTGACATTTTGGGTTTTACCCATGTAGCACTGCCCCTTTAGGAATCTCTTAGCTTTGGGTTCCCCTAAAGCCCTGCACAGCCAGGCAACATGGATTTTCTTCCACACTTTGCACACTGGAGTCAGTAACCAGTCTTTTTGAGCTTGGTTTTGAGATTTTATTAAGGGGTTTAGAACTTGTGGTTGAGGGGTGTATGGGATGCCCAAGGAACTGAAGAAATATGAGAGACAACTCAGCAACTGTGTACAAAGATGTGGGTAAAGAAATTCTCAGAGCATAGCATTCAAAGTACTCTATTGTACCTCAGACTCCAGATAAATGCCCTTCAACCAGCTGTACTGAGGGTATTCCTGGGCAAGGGGACCCAGAAGCTGCCAATATGGAACAGTCCCATACAAGACTAGTTGGCTTTTCCACCTGACTGCTCTCTCCCCTTATCTAGCCCAGTGGATGTAAGGGTACTCACACTGTCCTTGTTGGGTTGGTGGCTGCCTTCAGGCCTTCTGCTGGGCTGGCTCCTTCCCTGCTGGTCAGGATGTCCCTCTTAGATGGTGGTGCAGTGGAAATTCCCTTTTCCAGTACCTGCCTGTAGGTAGCCTCACTCCCAGGCTCTACACTTAGCCTTCCCTCCATCTTCCACCTGACACTGCCTCTTCTCCCAGACCCTGATTCTTAAGGGTTGCCTTGGTCATCATTCCAAACCTCCTGCCAGGGGATTGGCAAAGGTCCCTTAAAGTTACTAAACCCAGGACCCTGCATTCGCTATCTGCTCTCCCACAGTGCTAAAATAATTGCATTTCCTTGTTCTGTGTAAATGCCTTTTCTCATTAGCAGTTAGAGCAGTATTGACTTCAGTAAGTGTCCAGCAGAGCACTGGTTAAAGCTTGGAGTTTTCATTCTCCCCTGATTGTCCTATGAGACTGTAGGACCCCTGACCCTCTTGTCTGGACAGTGCTGGTTGGACCTGTACAGATCACTCCAAAAAAAAATTCTTTAGCAATACACTCCAAACCTGAGCATGTGCAGAGTGACGCAGTCTCTCTTCTACCAGGAGATATATTGGAGACCATAGAAGGGAAGGATCAGAGAAGAGCGTATCAAACATACTCACTGTGGAACCTAAGGGGGTTAAATCCTCCCCATTGTGTAAAAAGTATAACAAGCATGCTTTACTGCATGTACAGACTGATTTTACTGTTGTGGATTTAGTAACACTTTAAACATACAGATCTGAGCATTCTGTCCTTCAGAAAGCTCCAGGTTTTTGGGAGAGCTCTGAGCTTCAGAACCTCCCTAGCCTGTCCTGAGGAACTCCTTCCTCACAGGCTTACGAACTAAATCTGGAGGGCTTTACACCCAGTAACAAACAGCAAACTTTGTACACAAAATATGAATGTTTCACTAATTTTTTTTTTTTCTGCTTTTACTAGGCTTATTCAAGATTCTGCGTGGGCAAGATCATTGTGGAATAGAGTCTGATATAGTTTTGCTGGAGTGCCCAAAGATTAATCTCATACTGGTCCCTTTATCATAGCTCCAAAGCTTGAATTGTCTTTTACCCAAAACCTAGTGGAAACCAGTTTGTTTTTATTGCATCATTTTAATTGGACTTTTTTTTTCTTTATCCAAGTGCAGCGCACACAATGGAATATTATGGCTCTAATTTGTAGCTACGGATAATTGTTTAGGAGAGTGTCTTACTGCCTTAATGGCTCAAACGATCTCACCAAAAACAAGCTTCCAGAATACGAGATGCTGACTTAACCAGTGCTAGGATTCAGGGTTCTAGCACACTGGCAAACCATGCCACCTTATGTACAGCTCTACTCTGAAACTGTCAATTTTGCACTGCGACTGTTTTTTTTTAATGTGAAATCTTAATTTCTCCATTGTCCACCTTCCCAAAGAAATTAAAGTGGAACACCTTTTTATTTTGTAAGGCAGGTCCTTGACCTGGTCAGCTTTTGTAAAGCATTCATTATGGGATTTGGTCTTCTACTATGGCTTATGTTTTGCTGTCACAGCGAATGGCCCAATTATGCTTGAAGTTGATCTGTGAAAGTGTCTATAGTAATGTGGAGATTAAACTTTTCAGGTCTTCTGCAATAACATGTGACAAAGGTAGTTAACTGCTGTTCAAGTGGGAAGTTGGCAGTCCCAATAAATTACTTTGCACAGAAGGAATAGATTGACCGAGCTTAGAAACCAAATTTCTGTGTAGAATATTGCAGAAGCGGGTATAATAGCCTCTTAGCAGCTGCCCTGGTGAATGTGCCACCAATAGTCTTGTAGATTATATACACTTTGTCTATGAAATCCTCACTCAGCCTTCCATGTGTCTACTGTTCAATGCCAAGTTGTCAAATGGAACATCTCACTGGATATGTTAGCAGTTTGAGACAAGCAGGAGTCTAGATGGGTACAGCAACACCAATGTTCAATCTAATGGGGTTCTCTACTGGTTATAACACAATATTATATTTCATAATGAAGCAGACTTTTGTATAAAGCAACACAATAGATAACATAAAAGGTGGCAACAAATCAGATTTGCAGATATTAATTGATCTTTTGGAAAATCAGAAGCCTGATGGGGATACAGTTTGTGCACTGTGCACAAGTCCTAATGAAGTCTGCTCAATAACTTGTCTAGTGTCCTATTGTATAATCCGGTTCTGCCTTTACTACAGTTCATTGAACCAGGTTATAGGGATGAGTTTTTTAAATTAAATGTGTTTTTTTTTTTTTTTTTAAATGTAACATTTGTTTGCCAATAAAATGCCTTGTCTTCCTTTTAATTTGTTTGGCTGGTTTGTTGCACAACTACATTAAATCCTTAGATGCTGTAAGCCCCTTCAAATAACTTTTTTAAATGCAAGACTGTTGCAATAAAAGGTATTGGTCTCCCAGCTCCCCCTCAGTGCTGCAGCCTATATCAGTCTTTGCAATTGGGGACAAAGGAAATAAACCTCCTCAATTTTTTTTTTTTTTTTTTTTTTTTTTTTTTTTTTTTTCTCCTGGCATTTTAGACTGAACAGCCAATTTCCAGGTTGTGACAGATATTCAGAGTCGGTCCTCCGCACTGTAATCTAAAAGGGACTGGACTGTAAAGGGGCTCTGTATTGATTGGTGCCCCTGTAACGGAACCAGAACCCAGACCACACTGAGTTTTTTCCGTTATACCACAACTTCCCCTGTCCGAACACCATCCACGGACCACACCCTTGGAATCCCTCAGGAAAATAGACAATACCCAGCTCTTACTAAAAACAGGAAGCCAACAACCTTTATTCTACACAAACATGTTTTATACATACAGAGGGCGGGGAAAGACAACCAGGGACAGGAAACACATCTTCAGCCCACCCTGTCAGTGGGAAGGGCTACAGTATAGGCAGGAAACACCTCATCGCCCCTCCCCATCCAACCAGACACAGAACAATGGGATGCAACCATGTGGCAAAGGACATTGACCAACCCCCACACCAATACACAAACAGTACATCCCCATAATAGTTGGCTGGGCAGGAAGACACAGCACCATGGGGGGGAGCACATGGCAGGGACAAAGGAACACACTATACACAATACTGGGACATTCACACCCTGTACCCCTTAACAGGCACAGGGTGGGTTAAACATAATGAGGGGGACATGAGCTGACCAAGTGGTCCCCCCACCCCCAAAAGTCACTCCTGTCACAGCCCCTTTACAGCACAGTCCCCTTTATCAGTGCCCCTATATAGTCAAAAAGACATCCCCATCAAGCAGAGGGGCGCTCTCTTCTTGGACTGGGCGCTCGTAGAGTGATTTAAATGTAATGACATATGGTCTAGTACATATGCAGCACCAACACATTGGTTACACCACCATGTAGGGGATGTGTTCAAAAATTGTACCATATGGCTTAACAAAATACAATGCTAAAGATATCAAATAGGTACCAGTATAAGATGGATTCAGGAACCCAGTGCTTAACCTAAACAGCAGTTCTGTGAATTGGTCAGAAGTATAGTAATACTGCCATAATCTGTTAATTTCCCTGAATAGTGAATTATCACTTTTCTGTGTTTTTACACAAGTGTAGTAATACTGCCATAATCTGTCTAATTTCCCTAAACTGCTGTTTAGGTTAAGCACTGGGTTCCTGAATCCATCTTATACTGGTACCTATATTTGATATCTTTTTAGCATTGCATTTTTTTGTTAAGCCATATAATACAATTTGAGAAAAATGGTGACTTGTTCAATACTTATTTTACCTGCTATATATACAGTGCATTGAACAATGTGTTGCTTTTTGAGATCCTTTTTTGCTTCAGTTTGTCAGACTGCTTCTAATTTAAGCGATTTCTTGATTTAACAGGTCTGGCAGTAATCGGGTCTGATTGTGGCAAGTTTAATTTAACTCCGCTTTCCAAAAAAGTGGTTAATCACAGTTAATTCGTTATTTAGCAAGGCGTGGGGGGTTGAGGCAGGTTTTGGACAGCCTTGCCCACACTATTTTTTTTTTATTAAATTTTAACCATTTCAATACCATGCAATTTTACAGCTTCCTGCCCAGACCAATTTTCAGCTTTTAGTGCTGTCACACTTTGAATGACAATTGCGCGGTCATGCAACATTGTACCCATATGAAATTTTTCTCTTTTTTTCCCCACAAATAGGGCTTTCTTTTGGTGGTAATTAATCACCCCTGAGTTCTTTATTTTTTGCACTATAAACAAAGACTGAAAATTTAGAAAAAAAAATAAGATTTTCTTTGGTTTTATTATAAAATTTTGCAAATAAGTAATTTTCTTAAATGTAGGCAAAAATTTATACTGCTACATACCTTTTGGTTAAAAAAAAACCAAATTGGTGTATATTATTTAGTCTGTGTGAAAGTTATAAAGTCTACAAGCTATGGCACCAATCATTGCAAATTGATCACACATGAAGCACTGATGGCCTATTTCATTTCTTGAGGCCCTAACATGCTAGGAAAGTACAAATGGCCCCCAAAAGACCCCTTTTTGGAAAATAAGACAGTCCAAAGTATTTAGTAAAAGACATGGTGAGTTATTTGAAGTTGTAATTTTTTCCCATTCTTTGGAAAATGAATAAATTATTATTTTTTTCACACATATTTGTGAAAATAACTTATTTCTCACACCTGGCATAGACATACTTGCAATTGCACCCCAAAACACATTCTGCTACACTTCCTGAGTATTGTGATACCACATATGTGAGACATTTCCACAACCTGGCCACATACAGAGACCCAACATCCAAGTAGTACCTTCACACGTTGTAGGAGAATAGAAGTGGCATAAAATTACACATCTAATTTTCTGACTACCTATCAGTTTTGAAGGCCCTGGAGCACCAGGATGGTAGAAACGCCCACAAAATGACCCCATTTTGGAAAGCAAACATCCCAAGGTATATTCTATCAGGCATAATGAGTCTTTTGAACATGTTTTTTTTTTTTTTCAAAATGTTTTTTTTAGAAAATGTGGAAAGAAAAATGAACTTTTTTTTTTTCACACAAAGTTGTCTATTTTCTAACACACAGCATGTACATACCAAGAATTATGCCCCAAAATGCATTCTGCTACTCCTGAGTATGGCGATACCACATGTGAGACTTTTCCGCAGCTTGGCCACATACAGAGACCCAACATCCAAGTAGCACCTCCATGCATTCTTGGAGCATAAAAGGGGCATAAACTACACATCTAATTTCCTGACTCCCTATCACAGTTTTTAAGGCCCTGGAGCACCAGGATGGTAGAAACACCCACAAAATGACCCCATTTTGGAAAGCAAACATCCCAAGGTATGTATTGGGCATAATGAGTTTTTGAACATGTTATTTTTTTTCCACAAGTTTTTAGAAAATGTGGAAAAAAAAGAGGTGTTTTTTTTTTTTTTTTACACAAAGTTGTCAATTTATAGGATATTTCTTCTATACTTGAAAATACATTTTACTACTCCTCCTGAACATGACAATACCACATGTGAAACTTTTTTCACAGCTAAAGAAAGGCTAAGCAAAAGATTACCTATGGTTTTAGGAGAGCATTGGACCAGGAAGCAGGCAAAAGCAACAGGATTCGACCAGGCAGCAGCAGGAATATGGTGGATAAACAAGCCAGGGTCAGAACAGGCAGCAGGCTGAGATCCAGGTAGAAGGAAGAAACGTGGTCCATAAAAAGTCCTAGGTCAGTCCAGGCAGCAGGCAGAGATATGGTCAGCACAGCCAAAATATTGGTCCAGACAACAGGCAGGAACATGGTCCATAAAAAGTCCTAGGTCTGTACAGGCAGCAAGCAGAGATATGATTAACCTGTGTTGGTTTGTATTGGTCCATGCAAAGTACTGGTCCAGGCAGCAGGCAGGAACATGGCTTGGAAGTTTTGGGTCAGTACAGGTAGCAAGAGGAGATATGGTCAGCACAGCCAAAGTATTGGTCCAGGCAGCAGACAGGAACATCAGGCTTAGGGCCTTGATCAGGTAGGACTGGGCCACAGGGGTAGAGGCTTCGTC